TCGCGGGCGGGCGGATCCCCCTCCCCCCCCCCCGGGGCGCCGCCCGCGCTTACGCGAGGCGCGCGGCGACGAGCGCGGCCGCGAGCGCGGCGAGGCCCGCGAGGCCCGCGCGCCTCGGGGCCGCGGAGCAGTCGCCGAAGCCGCGGAAGCGCGTCCACTCCTTGTTGAACTCGTGGCGCGGGCACATGAAGTCGCCGAGGCGGCAGTCCCAGACGCCGCAGCGGTCGAGCGTCTCGCAGAGGAGGCGGCCGCTGTTCCGCGCGCAGAACTGGCCCGCGCGCGTGAACTGCGCGTCGCCGGGCTGCCTGCGCCGGGCGCGGGCGGTCGCCGCGCCGCCGGGCGGCGCCGGCCCCGCGCGCGCGCGTCCGGGGCGGCGGCCGAGTCGGCCGCGCGCGCGCGGCTCGCCGGCCGGGCGCGCGCGGTCCAGCCTCGTCGATCTCCGCGAGGCGCGTGTTTCTTCTCCGGCGCGGGGCGCGCGCGGCGAGAGCTCGAGGCAGTCGCAGCCGCTCTGCATCATCGCCTCCAGGTGCAGGATGTCGCTGTCGAGGCACTCGTCCGCGCACCTGCGCCGCGGAGCGTTCGCCTCCTTCCGTTTTGTCGATCTTTGGGCTCTCGGCGTCGAGGCAGGGACTCGTCTCGGCGCGCCGGAGACGCGTCCGCCCGCGCTACGCTCGTCGGGGCACAAGGCGCGGGAACCGCGCATGGGGCCCCAGATGGACCAGTCGGTGACGTCTCCGTGGCGGCCCGCGAGGTCGCGCTTGAGGACGAGGAGGCTCCGGGCGCACACCTCGGCGGCCTTCTCCATGACCTGGCCGTTCGTCGGCGCCGGCGTGTAGCGGAGGAACTCCGTGACGCCCCAGAAGCCCGCCTGCTTGTCTACCTTGATCATGTAGTTCGTGAGCTCCGTCTGTTCGAAAAAGTCGGCGTCGTACCACGCGTCGTAGCGGGTCAGGTTGCAGCTCGCGAGGGCACGGTGGAAGAAGCACGGCAGCACCGCGAGGGCGCATCGACGCGCCCGCATCGTCCCCATCGTCCGGCCCAGCGGCACTGCGCGGCGGATACGTTGCACGTCGCCAACGTCGGCAGCGCCGCCGAAGGACCGCGTTTGTAACCGGCGCTCCGGGGCGGGCGCCTGGCGCCGGCGAAAGCCATGCCCGTGGACCGGCGCAGCGGCGAGGCGACGATCCTGCGCCAGGAAAACCGAAAGGTGAGCGGCCGGCCCCAGTGGTCCCTCGCCGGGACGCCCGGCGGGTCCCCCCGGGCCGCGGCGTCGAGCCCGCCGGCGCGGCCGCCGCCGCGGCGGCCCGCGTCAGCGCCGAGCCGGCGGCGCGCCGCGCCGCGGACGCCGAGCCCGCGCGCGCGGCCCGCGGCCCCGCGGCGCCTCGCGCCGAGCGCGAGCTCGCCCGACGTCGCGGCGCCGGCCGACCGCGCCGCGGGGCTCCGGGAGCTCGCCGCGTACAACCGCGCGCGGCTCCCTGTGTGGGAATCGAATCTTCGACCCGACTTCAATGTGCGCGTATGCGACCGTTTCGACGCAAGGCCTTCCGATGTGCTTCGAGAACTCGACGAGAGCAATCGATTCGTCGAAACATCAGCCGAATCGACGTCGATTCGACCGAGATCGAGAGTTCCGAAGTTTGGTGGGGACCCCCCCGACCAGTGGTTGATTTCCACACAGGCGGCTCCTGCGCTTCGCGGAGACCGAGGGCCTCATCGCGCCGGCCGGCGGCGCGCCCCCGCCCCTCGAGGCGCCCGCGGCCGGCGCCGGCGCCGCGCAGCCGACGTTCGCGTCCGCGAAGCGCGCCGCTGTGTGGAATTCAAATCTTCAACCCGACTTCAATGTGAG